AGGGGCACATGATCTTATTTTGTATTAGGAAGCAAGGCTATGAAATGTTAGGGATAGGAATATGTTAGGGATATAGTCCCAAGTATCCAAGTGATTGCTACCTGAGAGATGTTTTTAAATGGGACCACAAGAATTAATAAGATAAAGTATGCTTACCCCATGTCAATTTACAGTTCAGTTGAAATAAAATGTCTTTCTGAAGCTCAAACATTTGATTTTTAAGCTTATGATATTTATTTAGCAACAGAAGCCAGTTCTAGTACAGACTTAAAAACTGGCCATGAATTCCAACTTCTTAGTAGCTACCTTAAGATAGAAAATACTACTTTATAAAATATATGGTATAACAATTCTTAAAACTATGGTTTGAAGGAAGACGAACTGGCCAAAGAGTTTTATATGAATACTTTAGAAATGATTTTTTAAAAATTCTAAATCTAAGAGACCTCGAACAAAAAACTAGGTTTCTCTAACCAGAGAACAATACAGCACTTGAGATTAAAAACCAGTAAATCACATAGGAACTTAAACATGAATGATTAGGGACCATTCATGAGATATTAGGTACTACCATAGCACTAATGTCTTTAAGTGCTACATTACTCAGATCTAGCTGGTGGGCTTTTACTTTTCCTGGATGGATTTTAACTAAATAGACTTTAGACATTTGGATATAGATAAATGCCTAATTCAGTAATTAGTATTTTAAAACTGTGAAACCTTTTAAGTTAAGTGGTCTATTAATTAACTACCAATTATCTTGTCTGACTACCATATCAATAGAAGTAAATTACCGACTTGCTATTTGACAGATTTAGCCCTTTACCATGTAAAATTTCTTCAGAACATAAAAGGCCTGGAGTTAAATGCTTTTGCTTCCCCCTTTTGGTTAATCAGGGATCAATTTGCTGCTCACGTATAAAGGCCAAGTGCAGCTCTTGGGCCAAAAAGGATCTACAGATAAACTCTGTCTTGTAAAAATGGCAGGCTAAGATTCTACTCCTCTTAAAAAATAACAAGTGAAGCAATATTCATGTTCTGAGGAAAATACAGGCTTGCAATTCCTGTAGGGAGGCCTACTTGCCATGTTTCAAAGGAGATGAGCAAGGTATTTTCCAGCTTTCGTATCCCATGGAGCCACAGAAAGGGCCTAAGTGAATTGTTGCTAGGATTATGGCAACATTAAAGTGCATTGTGTTGCACACGTTCTCCTTGGTCTTGCACTGACCCTGACGAGAATATTGCACAACAGATTATACTGACTGGAGTCTACCCCAAACCTATCACTTCTTGACGGGCGACCAAGAGAAGGTTCCTAGGAGAGCTGCTGGTGATAGAAGAATCCTGGAAGGTGGGAGCATCACAGCGGACCGGAGGGCTGGGTGTGATAATGCTGAGCACAGCAAAAACTTTCAATGTGCAAGGAAATAAACCGTATGAGGTTCAGAACCAAGAAGGGAATTACAGGTAGGAATGGTTGCCACACATTCGATTTGAGCTTGTTTTCAACTGGGTTATCAACACCGGCCTTCTCAAGTTGCTAGCCTGGCACCCATGAGCAGATTTAATATACTATAGTAAATGTGAGCACCCGGGTGGGGCAGGGAGAGTGGAAAAGTTGTGTAGCAAAACAAAAGGAGATACAAACCATTATGAATGTTAGCTATTGAGGTCTCCTCAATCTTGCACAGCGTTAGTCAGTCCACCATAAGGCTTACCTTTCGAAATTTCAGCAGACAGGCCCCCGTGAGCATCCTGAGTAGGTGATCTTCTGAATTTTTAAACAGAAGTCTAGCCTACTGAACACTCATTTACTGCATGTTCATTGAGTCTTAGGAGTGGAGTCCTATTCTGAGCAGGGGAAAACAAACAGGAAGGATAGAACAAACTGCCCTCAGACAGCTTGCCATCTATTTTGGAATTTCAGGACACAATGCATAAAAAAAAAATAATAATAATAAACCAAAGAGCACATACTATGCCACAAAGGGTGAGAATGAACAGATGCTGCAAGAAATTAATGGCAAGAAGAGAGAAAGCTTTAGACAAGCCATTTAACTGCAGCTTCATCAGAAAACAAGAGATGGACAAGGTGATCTCTAAGGATCCTTGCAGCTCTAATACTAGAATGCCAGGAAAAGGGCTGGAATGGGGAGGGAAGACTGTATTAGGAAATTGTGCTAGGCCTTAAAATGTACCGGAGTGGAGGAAGAAGGTCTTGAAGGCAGAGGCAGTAGTAGAAGGGATTTTAAGTAGGGGGCCCATAGCTTTTCAGTGGAAGTCCACATGGTTTTCTATCTTATTGCATAGGACTTTATATTTAACGCTGGGTCAGGATCAACACACCATTCAGTATTTTATGAAAACAGACAGCAACTGCTACTTACAAGTCTGGCTCAAGACTAATCGTTCAAATGACTAAACGACTCTCTGCTCAGCTGATCTACTTTTTAAATAAAATGTATGGGGCAACTTCTTCTCCCCACCCAGATACAGTAAAAAGACACACTGGTTATTTTCTTTGGAAGGAAAACAGCACATGCTAATATATCTTTAGATAGTTGTCAGACATTTTTGCCTAAGAGGACTACTGGAAGGGAAGCTGAATTCAGGTAGCTCTTACATCATCTAATACCCCCCACCTCCCACCCCACCCCCTGCCAAATCACTGTAAAAATTATAGTAAGCTCTCTTCTAAATTTTAGTTGCTAGATCTCAATTTCTTAAAGGGTTTATAAAGCTCGGCAAGAAGTCAGAAATTCCAACTCTAAAATGAATTTTCTGACTCAATATTGAAAATAAATTCTTAAGTTTAGATGCTTAGGGGAAAAACAGCTGGAGAATTCAGGAGCCTCCCATATTTTAATATGAAGTGACGTCATTACCGTCAAGGCTTCCAAGAACTCCCTAAATTCTGTAGTTAAGCAACATCTCAAAGCAAAGTAAGGACTCTGGGAAGATGGTATGTTCCTCCTTAGTATATGGGTTCAATTCCACAATCATTCTTCTATTGGAGATTTGATTCAATTTTCTCCTTAGGTTAGCAAGTAGTCTAATGTTAAGGCACAGTTTATCAATTGATGCGCATTTTCAAAGCCAAAGCTATGGATTTTCTGTGTTTAACACACTCTCAATTAGCTCTCATTTTATAGAATGTCTAGCGAAGAGAGGCTGCTTTCCTCTTGAGGTATTTAACTGCAGATTTAAAAGTGTGGTTATGTTTGAAATTTTATTATCCGGCAAAATAATCATACAGAGAAAGCAAGCAAGATGACTAAACTTTAGAGCACAGTATAGGTAAAAGTTTACAGTTCAGAAACTGAGGATCATCTCAATCAAAGATTATTGGAAAAGAACAGTCCTGGTATTGGCGGCTCACAACTAGCCAGCCTACCAATGGCTGTATATCAATTTAAAGATGACAAGTTGACCGAGAGCAACTGGAGTTTCTAAGGCAGCTTCATCCTTACCATTCTACTCTGAAAACTACAAGTCCATCCGCAATTGACATATGTCTTATTTCAAGTGGTTGTTTTACTCAGAATTATAAAAATGTAAGATTCTTGATAAACCATAATGCCAAGTTTATTCATTTGTACCGGTCTTTACTCACCTGATCCACCCCCTTGCCACTTGTTCTTATGCACGCCATGGCAGCAAGGACTTTTATTCAGTTCCCCACCCCCAATGCACACAACACACACACACACACACACACACACACACACACACACACTCTTTCTCTCATACCTATGCACACGCTCATGTGCACAAGCATACTTAAATCCCGCCAAACTGCATTTGGTAATCTCCTTACTCATTTAAAACATTCATATGAGTTAGCTCACACCACTTGTGTGTTCATTTCTAGAGGTTTGAAAATGAATTAAATAAAGCTCATGTTTTAAAATAAAACATTAAAGTAAGCTTCTTTCAGGATCTGAGAAATGGTCTGATGTTCAAGGAACAACATTTGAATAAGTACTTCTAAAGCCAGATTAAGTTTGTAGGCAGTTGCTAAAAAATTAAGGAGGTTTAATGTGACCTATTTAGAAGAAACAGTTCTTTGTGGTGTTCTATTAGAAGGCTAATCCGCCTATAGAAAATACAAAACGAAATTTCCTATCTCCTTACCCTTTCTTTATTGGCTCTTACATGTCTACAAAAGTAAACGGGAATTACTGTGGGGGAAAAAGAGAATAAAGAAGGTCCACAGTGCAGAGTTATAGGGGAGAGCTTCACACCTTCCATTATTGAAGTTTCGGTGAAAAACTGGGATCTGTTTGGTCCCCAGAGCAAGAAGGCACTCGTTCCCCCTCATCTTTAGATGCTATAGGAGCTCCGATGGCTAGAAGCTGATATGGTTTAAGTCCCTCGTTCCCTCTCACAGTCCTCCTGTCCCTCATATAGTGACTCTATGGTCCTAGCAGGGTGACCTCTGTTCTCCTAAGAGAGGCATCCTGTAAGCTGGGAAGGTTCTGACATGTACTCCATCAGGACAAGGCCACAGACCCTGTGGATGGTCAATGGATGTTAAGTGACTGCTAGGGTGGCCTGACCACTCCCAGTGGACCACAAATGCTGATCTCAGAATCTCTGGCACTTTCTAAAATGCGGCTGAGCAGTAATTTGGAAGCCTAAACTCTGACTTCAGGAATTCATAAGAACAACCAATGTTTTACAAACTCAACAGAAAGTAAAATAAACAAACCCAGGGTTTTATGCTCCCTCTTGTTATTTTTATGGCAATCTTTCAAAACTAGTTCAAAATGTTCAGTCCTTCGCCCTCTTCAGAAAGACTGCATGGGATAGGGTAGAAAATAATTATTTGATAGTAACTGGCAATGCAGTGTAATTCACCATGGGGAAATAACAAATTAGAAAGCAGCTTTGCAGTGAAACAGTACAGGTGTCTTTCAGGCTGGTACTGAAGTCTGGCTCCTTTCCAACCTTCTCATTGAGGAGGGCCTAGTAATAAAAACAAGGATGTTTATATTTACCCAGAAGTGCGCGTGGCAATTGACCATCATGGTTCTCTCAATGAGCTCATCGGGACATTCCAGAAGGTGATGCCCAGAGACCACTCCAGCATTATTGACCAGGACTGAGACCTCGCCGACCTCCTTGCGGACCCTTTCTGCCGTCAGGTAGACATTTTCCCTCTTTCCCACATCACAGGTGTAGGTAAAAACCTGCAAGTTACAGTGGGGCAGAATTTCTTCCTCACCATTTCCAGCTGTCCTCAGAAGTCCAGATGAAGGGGGGGGAAATGGAACAGAGAAGGGGGTAGGGGGTGCAAAATGTGAGTCACATGGCAATCAGTAGGACAAAGATCACACAAAACAAAAATACTACAGTGAGCTTCAAATTTCTAACACCCTGAGGCTTGCCAATGACTGAACTTACAGCTGCCTTCCTCCCCCAAAAGTCTTTGGGAATTACAGCAATTTACCGGATAACTTTGCTTAGGGGAAAATCATGTAATTGTGACAAGCCCGATACAAGTCAGACCTCATGGGAACGGCTTCCTGGAGCTAAAGACACCTGGAAAAAACTAATCTCAGCCCAGAGAGTAACACCCCCCACCTCCTCCCAAACACAAACACTACACACTCCTCTTTTTTGAGGAACGGTGGCCAAAACCGGCTTTTACTCTTTTAGTACCGGAACCCTCAAAATGGAAACTCTCCTTCAGGCTCACAAATCAAAACTGCAGTTAACAGTCTGAAGTCATCCAAAGCCAAGAAATGAACCTAAAGTTTCTCATGAAGGAATGGAGGTCACTGGTTTGTTCTAACTGGAATAGCTGAGATCTCCTAAGAAGCACCTCACATAAATGAAACTTACAGGTAAATATGCAATTTTACCACATAAGATCTCAATTTAAAAACCAAAATTCTCTTTCCTGGTTTCTGAATACCTTTTCTCTTTTAGGTTTTGGCAGGGTGCACAATAATCTGTATTTGCTACCTCTCCATACCACTGTTGAAAATGTAACATGCTCGACCTTTGATTTTCTGACCTAAAAGGCAGGTGCCAATAGTTTTAGTGAAAAAAATGATCGATATGGGGGAGGGGTGGTGTCTCAAGTTAATCTTCCCGGTATAGTTCAATGTTTTATCTGGAAATGAAAAATTTTATTTTTATTTATCAAAATTTTATTAAATTTTGATAAAAATTTTCAAAGAGTAAGAGCCATTACCAAATTTCCCAGACCAATATTTATGGTTGGTTATGGTCTCCACTTCGGCTTAAAAAAAAAAAAAATCTCAGATTCAGGTTATTTAATAAATATACCGTGAGGCAGATTTCCTGACGTTATCAAAAACATGAAATAAATTTACAATGAGGCTTAAATGTTCCAAGCGGTTTGAAAGGTAGAGTATCTTTCAATGAGGCTGAGTATGTAACTAAAGCACTTACTTGTCCCTGTTTAAACAATGTTAATTATTTTCTTGTGGCTAAACTTATAGTGAAATCATCAATGCTGCCCCAGCCGCGGCGATTCGGACCACGGTAATAATATAGATACATTCATCAGTCGAGTCTGAGAATAACTTCCCAGACACTTCATTGCCCCATCGCAAACCGGAGGGAGGCATTTCTTTAGAATTCAAACCTGGGCTAGCAAGTTCGCTCTGCCTTCGCTATCCGCAGAGAGTTTAGGAAGCCCGACATTCTTCCCCGAGGACCTCCGGGAAGACAAGGGTTCGGCACACCTTCCCCCCTTCTAAGACAGAAGTGACCGTGTTCCTTTCTCACGGGGCAAATTCCACTCGCAGGAAACGAGGGGGTGCTTCTCTTCCTTGCAAGCGGGGCTCACCCAGACAGTGGGGTTTCGGGCCCTCCCGGAGACGCCTCGGGGGGTGGGGAGAGGCTTGATCCCGCGCAGGTCCGAGTTACCTTGCAGCGCCGCGGCGTCGGCCGCCTCCAGGTCGCGGTAGATGTGGCGCACCATGCCCGCCGTCTCCTCGTTGCTCTGGGTGTTGATGTCCCAAAGCACCAGCAGTGCCCGGCGCCGGGCGAACTCGAGCGCGAAGAGGCGGCCCAGGCCGCTGCCGGCGCCCGTGATGAGGCACACCTGGCCCGCCACGCTCTTCTCCTTGGGCCGCACCAGCCAGCGCGCCGCGGCCAGCACGAACGCCCAGAGCACTTTGAAAGTGACCACGAAGAACTCTACCACGATGTTCATCGCGACGCCCGGAACCGCGCACGAGTCCAGCGTCCGCGTCCACCGCGCGCAGGGCAGCCGGGCTCCCGGCCCCCGGGGTGTTTGTCAGAGCCGCCGAGAGCAGAAGGCTGCGCCCTGCGCCCTCCTCGAGGTGCCCTCCGGGCTGGAGTGCGCGGCGCCGTTCCCTGCTTGCGCGGGGACACTCCCGCCCGGGCTCGGCGCGGTGGCCCCCGGGCTGTGCCCGCCGCGGCAGCCGCCCGGCTCGGCGCCTCCTGCCGGCGGTCGCCCGCCCGTCCCGCAGCGCCCGCCCGGCCGGTCGGTCCCGCTGCAGCGGCGGTGACAGCCGCGACTTAGGCGGCGCGCGCTGCCCTCATGGCCAAGCCGCCGCCGCCCGAGTGTCCCCGGAGCCGGCGCGGCGGCTCCCTCTCACCCCGGGGGAGGGGCGCGCAGCGGAGACCGCACGGGCCCGCCGGCCGCCGCGGGAGTTGTCAACTTGACCCAAGTTGCGAAAGGGTGGGAGAGTGGGGTGCGGGGCAGCGGGAGCGCCGCGAAGGGAAGACTCGCTCCGCGCAGTCGAGCGCTGCCCAACGGCTTGCAGCTGCCCCCGCGGTCTCGAGTCCCCTGCCCTGCACACCCCACTGCTGTCAATTGGGCACTGGGCTCCACAGAGAAGCGCCGCTTGCTAGTCGGAGCGCTCCCGGCCGCCTCTGAGCGGGCTCCACGCTCCGCGCTATATAACCCTCGACCGGGAAGAGCCGGCGGCGGCATCGGCCCTCCCTCCGCTCGGCCCTCCCCGCCCCCGGGCGCACCCCGCCCCCGGCCCAGCCCCCCGCCCGCCCGCTGTCCGCCGTCCGCCGTCCGCCGAACCGCGGCGGGGCAGCCCCTCTCACATGGCCGTGGCCGCAGCCTCCAGCCCTCGTCGCGCCTCCCTTCAGGGCTCACGCCCCCTGCCGTGGGGTGTCCCAGCCTCCGCCTGCCAGGCCTGGCAGTCGGCAGTGTCCGAGCCATCCTCCTCCTGCCGTCGAGTCCGCGCTAGTCCCTATCTTGACACTTTTCGTTAAACGTGGGACGCTGGACGGCCCCTCCTGCGATCAGGCGCTGAGGAAGACAGCCCTGCAGGCTGGAGGAGCCGAGAGAAGGACCTCGGCAGCGCGGCAGTAGGGTGCCGTTTATGGCTAGGGCTGGCAGAGAGCCGAGAAGGCCGTCGAAAGCCGGGTCTTGACAGCGACTTAGAATCACAGCTAGCCCTCTGGAACGTGGGCCGAAAGGCTCTCATTTTCCCTGGCTGAAATCACCACCGCAGTGGTCGCCTACAGTCCCAGTCAAACGTTGCGCTACCTCCGGGCGGGCAATGAAAGTGCTGCATGCCGGGATTTGTAGTTCGCCCCCGTGCGGCGTGTCATTTGCGTACAGTACTGGGTGGAATTCGAGAAGTACCCTGTCACCTCAGCCTAGGGACTAGGACCCCGAGTAGTCAAGGTGTCGGCACTCTTTGCTCTTATGTTATCGCTTAAAGAGTGTAATCGATGCATGCATTTTCTCATACGAATTTTACCCGAAACTTGATCATAAGGTGCAGAATCAGGGGAGTGCTTAATTTTGCGTCTGCAAGACGAGTTCTCAGTTCCAAGTTGTTTTCTGGCTTATCCTGGGACACCTATGAGTTGTGGGGCTTCGCTCTTGTCGTCTTTAAGTGGACAGCGCGCATGCGCCGACTTCCTCTTTTTCCGGCTGGAACCATGGAGGGTGCAGAGTAAGTTGCTCTTCGTGCGCTTGAGAATCCTTCTCCATCCGCGAAACCAGAGATCTTTTGTCTCGCTTTCCCTCGATCCGGCGGTAGCTTGTACCTTTACCCATTTGTTTGTGTGTTTGTGACGCTCTGTGACACTAGTGGGGCCGCCGGGCTAAGATGGGATGCAGGCGGCCTTGGGGCGGAGGTTTTGGAGATGAACCGGGAACGAGGTGTGAGAGCCGAGTATGTGCGGGACCGGTGGGTATTCCTGTCTTTAAAGGGAGACGCAGAACGTTTTAGTTGGGTTCATGCTTAGCTGGTATTTGGCCCAGTCGTCCCCGTCGTCAGGCGTTTGGTGTTAGCATGTGGGACTTTCGACCTTCTGAATCGATGGTAGTTGGGAGGCTTTTTACGTTTCTTTTCCTGAGAATCCTAGGCCCTTAGACTCAGCTTCGTTAGGAGTTTAGGAATAATGTCTCGCAGCCGTTCCTCAGTGTGACGTTTCGTTAACTTGGCTCTCGGTGTTCCAGTTCCCGGAGGCCGGGGCTGACGGTGCATTAGATGTGAATTTATGGTCGTCCCTGACTCCTAATTTAAGTGAAGGGGTTCGTGTTAAAAGGCGAGGATACCTGGCGTAGAAACTCCCTAAGGTCTGCGTCTTCCACCCCAGCATGCTGGAGCTAGAGTAGCTGAAGGTACAGATTTTGAGAAGCAGTGACGGTAGTGGTACTAAATGACGAGGCCTGCGCAGTACAGATGAGGAGTAATGCGCTGTCGTGGGCTCTTGGAACTCCTAATAAAGTGCTCTTGTTCACTGATGCCAGAGAGAAGAAAAAGAAGGTTCCTGCTGTGCCAGAAACCCTGAAAAAGAAGCGAAGGAATTTCGCAGAGCTGAAAATCAAGCGTCTGAGGAAGAAGTTTGCTCAGAAGATGGTAAGTAAACTTTTTGAGGCACTCTCCCCGCAAAGGCCTTGAGGTTGGATTGGGAGCTAGATGTTCTTTCTCAGCAAGACTTGTTAACTTCACCGCCTGTACCGGTGAGCTTGCTCGTTCACCCTTTAAGGTGGTTTTTCAACGAAGGCAGTGTCTGCACTTTGAGATACTGACGCATGCTGTGGCGAGGAAGACGTTCTCAAGGGAACATTTTTCTAGCGGAACTAGTGTCGCAGTAGGTAGGATAGTTAAACTGGTACTGCTAATCGTGTTTGGGAACTCAAAGTCCGATGAATAACTGGTATTGGTTTTCAGCTTCGAAAGGCAAGGAGGAAGCTTATCTATGAAAAAGCTAAGCATTACCACAAGGAGTACAGACAGATGTACAGGACTGAGATTCGGATGGCGAGGATGGCGAGAAAAGCCGGCAACTTCTACGTACCTGCAGAACCCAAGTTGGCGTTTGTCATCAGGATCAGAGGGTAAGTTCAGTTTTAACTGCGTTCTGGTTTTGAAGGGAAAGCGCTGTGGTCTCAGCAGGAGTTGACATTGCTTCTGGGGGCTTTGGTTCCGAAACACTGGAATAAAGACATTTGGGCATAACAAACGTATTTTGGGCATAGAACATGGAGGGTTGTGCCCAAAGCCCTATCTGTTCTCTGATTGAGCATTTGAATTTTCATTCCGTGTCCTGGAGATGATCTTCAAAAGAAGCTAGGGCGTAAGTTCATTAAGTGCTCTTACAAAGATGCATACAACATGAAGTGGTAAAAGGGTCAGGGGATAAGATAGCAAGTTGCTGGTGTACAGAACATGGCTGTAGCTATGGTCAAAGCAAGAGCTGCTGAACCAACCCAGAAACCCACAGAAATTCTGCCTCTAGGTAAGCTAGTAGAAATAGGTTCCAATGTTGGGTCACCTGGATGGCTCGGTCGTTAAGCATCTGCCTTTGACTCAGGTCATGATCCCAGGGTTCTGGGATGGAGTCCCCTGCATCAGGCTCCATGCTCAGCAGGGAGCTGCTTCTCCATTTCCCACTCCCCCTGCTTGTATTACCTCTCACCGTCTCCCTCTCAGTCAAAAATAGAATTTTGAAAGAAAGAAAGAAATAGGTTCCGATGTTGAATTGTTAGGCAGAACATCTGTGAGATAAGGTATTCACACAGACCACTGTACATTGAAATTGGCCCCTAGGAAAAAAACTCCTTATAGAAAATGTGTCATATTGTGATGCACCGTTTTCAAAAGCAATGAGTTTTCTAGGGTAAAATCAAGTCTTCCTAGTTTTTAAGCTTAAGTATATAATTGGCAAAAAGTTTTGGTAATACAAGTACTTCAGAACCAGCCTGTTGAAAATGAATGAAAGTATCAATTCATAATTAAATTTCACATTGAAAGAACATTGCTGAAAACTGCAGAACATAGTTAAATATTTCTAGACAGCATGAGATAAGACATGTTATTTGCTTTGAAAATCAAACTTTATAAATACTCAGGAGCTAAAAAAGAAAATAGATCAGGAAGTTTAAAATGTCAGAGTAGCTAACTAAAGGAAAAATGTCAGTGGTCATTGTAACATGAAAAGATTTCTGTTTATTTAGGTGGGACTTGTCCGGAATTTATAATGGTTTGTTTCCTATTTTTTTTTTTTTTAAGATTTTATTTATTTATTTGACAGAGAGAGATCACAAGTAGGCAGAGAGGCAGGCAGAGAGAGAGGAGGAGAAAGCAGGCTCCCTGCTGAGCAGAGAACCCGATGCGGGGCTCGATCCCAGGACCCTGGGATCATGACCCGAGCCGAAAGCAGAGGCTTTAACCCACTGAGCCACCCAGGTGCCCCGGTTTGTTTCCTATTCTTAATAAAAAATTCTGATAAAGCTAAGTGAATTTTGTCTTTTTTTTCTCTGCAGTATCAATGGTGTGAGCCCAAAGGTTCGAAAGGTATTGCAGCTTCTTCGCCTTCGTCAAATCTTCAATGGCACCTTTGTTAAGCTCAACAAGGCTTCAGTTAACATGTTAAGGATTGTGGAACCATATATAGCATGGGGGTAAGTCTGTCCTTTACTAAGAGTTCCTTTTGAACTGGATGTTAGCAAGATGGATTTCAGATGTTCGGATGGTGATAATCCTATTCTTTGGTCATTTAGATCTGGGTTTGTTTGTTTGTTTGTTTGTTTTCTATTTTAGGTACCCTAACCTGAAGTCAGTGAATGAATTGATCTACAAGCGTGGTTATGGCAAAATCAACAAGAAGCGAATTGCCCTGACAGATAACACATTGATTGCCCGATCTCTTGGTAGGTTCTGCCTATAGGAGAAACTTGATTATTAGAAAAGTTTGACATTTTCTGCCATCTTGTTGCCGTATATTCATTCTATTATTAATCTATCCATATTCCCTACAATGCACAAGTCTGTGGAAAACGTAGGTTATGATTTCATTGGCTCAAGCTTCATCTTTGTAAATACAGCCATGAATTTTCCTCTTTGCTGCTTTACTCTTGATTTGAAGTTTCATGGCCTGTAATTTTCCTTGCTGAATATCCTAAAGTCTATAAAAACAGCTAACGATTTTAATGATCTTTAAAATGTTCAGGTAAATATGGCATCATTTGCATGGAGGATCTGATTCACGAGATCTATACTGTTGGAAAACGTTTCAAAGAGGCAAACAACTTTTTGTGGCCCTTCAAATTATCTTCTCCACGAGGGGGGATGAAGAAAAAGACCACCCATTTTGTGGAAGGTGGAGATGCTGGCAACAGGGAAGACCAGATCAATAGGCTTATTCGAAGAATGAATTAAGGTGAGCAGCTAAATCAATAAAAGTTTACTTAATAATAAGAGTAAATGTGGTGGTGATCTTGGGCTTCTTGGGTAAATATTGTTAAGTGTTGGGTTGGGTTCTAATAGTTTTAAGGGGCAGAAAGCCAGTCATCTTACCTGGTTACAATTGGTGTGATTACTCTTTGTGTGGATATTTATGGAGGAAAAAAAAAAAGCCTGGGTTTTTTTTCTTAAGCACTTTTTTTCTGAAGCACTTTCTTAAAATTTCTTGATTTATGTTAATTGTAATCTACTAAGGTGGTTTCTTTAATGAGCTTTTTTCCCCCCTTTTTCAGGTATCTACCATGATTATTTTTGTAATCGGGCCAGTTAATAAAGGACTACTCTCAAATGGAAATGTGTTGTCATCTTGGTGACTTTTTTGCTAGCCTGACTCTGCTGTCCCTTAACTATTTTTTTTTAATGATTTTATTTATTTGACACAGAGATCACAAGTAGAGCAGCAGGCAGAGAGGGGGGTAAATTAGGCTCCCCACTGAGCAGAGAGCCCCACTTGGGACTCAGTCCCAGGTGCCTCTGTCCCTCAACTATTAAAGCAAGTCTTAAGTGTGTGATGAAATTAAAAGTCAAGGGACGCCTGGGTGGCTCAGTTGGTTAAGCGGCTGCCTTTGGCTCAGGTCATGATCCCAGCATCCTGGGATGGAGTCCCACATTGGGCTCCTTGCTCAGCAGGGAGCCTGCTTCTCCCTCTGTCTGCCTGTGCTTGTGTGCGCACGCTCGCTCTCCCTCTCTAACAAATTAAAAAAAAAAATTAAAAGTCAACAGTCTGTGTGTGTAAAACTAGGGTCGCGTTTGTATCTTGACGGAAAACATTACTTAGGTTTATTAAAGACTCATCTGTATGAAGAATGTATCTTAATTTTTCACCTTTGCATTGTGCCACATAGTTAGCCAAGATGGGTCTGTTCTAAGGAAGCCTATTTCATAGGCTTTTGTGCATGATTTATAAGTAAGGTAATAAAAACTCAGTTTATAAAGAAAAATAATGTTGCTGAAGTTCTGTCCTCTGAGGCTTTGGCTTTTCTATAAAGTACTGTTGTGAATGTGTTTTCCTTTTGTGTTCCATTTTTTGTTTGCATCTTCTGGATATTTAGGTGAGATTCTAATAATTCCGTTATGCATTTTGATGTTATAAAGGAAAAAAATGAAATTAGTGCTCATAGATGCAAGTTGTTTTGGAACACCTATAGCACTAACAAGCAAAAACGGGAAAAGGTTTGTTATTTTATAAGTAATATTCGTATGTATTGGATGTATCTCACTTAGATTAGTGAACTGATAGTTTTCAGTGTAGAACATAATACAAAGTACATATAAAAAGTTTGTGTAGTCCTCATTGATTGTGCCAATGGTGTGGTGGTTCTTTAGAACCATCTTCAGAAGGTTCTTGAGTTTGTCAAGTCAGTGTTACATGTTACTGAGTGTACTAGTGTTTTGCAAGAAATTTTGGTGTTTCAGTAAATGCCCACCATCAGTAGTTAGTGGTACATTTGTTTATAACCCACAAATGGACACATTACCCAAAGAAGCAAAAGTTTTTGAAGCTGGTGGAGGGATAGGAACATCTGTGGGAATATGTAGGATAAACGGTGTATTGGCAGTACATGTCCTTTCTGGACATGTTGCAGTCTGGGAGATTCAGTTCATACAAATTACTTTCTGACTGGGGCCAGAGGCCCAGAGGATGGGGAAACAACCATGTGAGAGTTTGGGAGTAAGGGAGGAGTTGCAGACATCTAATACTGCCATAGAGCAGTTTAAAGTGCTTGCTTCAGAATAAAGAAACCTAGGCTGTTGCAAAGCAGGAAAGGAGGAAGGCATGTCAGGGTGGTAATTTCTGCTGTTAGGTCCTAGGGAGGAGAGTGGGTAATTGGTCTGCCTTCACAGGATTGTGAGGACTAAAAGGTGTATGAAGATGTTTTGTGAACTGTTAGAACCTATTGAAATGCAGGTTAACACCTTGTTTAGAAAACACACCTAAAAGATGGTATCCCCTATAAGGGACTGTTCCCTAGAAGGCTAACCAATCTTTGAAAGCCTGGGCCCCACCCAGCTGGTTCTACAAAAATTCCAAAAATTCACCTCACTTAAGTAAACTTACTTTTGTGCCCTTCAACATTCCAGCATTCTAAGATCTTAAACTAGCTACCTGTCTTCAAGTCATGAAGCTTAGTTGTTGCATTCACTGATCTTTAGCAGGTGTTACCTCATACTGCTTTGGAAGTTCTTTTGCCATAGGCTGGATTGAGTGTTCTGGAGACAAAATGAGTTCATATCCAGCCTTCACTTAATAGCTTGGGCCAGTGAATCTTTATCAGCAAAATGGGGAAGATAGTTTAGATGTGCCTAATCTAGGATTTTGATAAAGATGTCAGGTGTTCAGAGCAGACCTAGCTCAAAGTGCTAAGTAAGTACTATTTACTGTATTATTATATCTTGAGCGTCTAGCAGGGTCATACAAAGGAAAAGAGCCTATGCTTTCATGTGTCAGTCTATTTAGTAAGCTAGACATAACACAAGTACTATGAGATAAGCGCTACAGAGATGTCTAGGATGTGTCAGCTTTCTGGGGTATTGGAACCACCTGTAGGGGAAGACTGACAACATTCTGCCCCCACTGCTTTTCTTTACAGACTGATACCGAACCAGCCAAAACGTTGCTTTCATACAGATGTCTCCCTTGCTTGGTTAAAACTTTATAAGGCCAGCTTTTTAATCCTTTCAACTTAGTACTGGATACAGAGTAGGCACTAAATTCTTGTTTCCTGTTGCTGTTGTAACAAATTACAAACTTGAGGGACTTAAAACAGATTTATTGTCTTCAACAATTTCAGAGGTAAGAAGTCCAAAATTGGTTTCCCAGCGCTAAGTCAGAGTGTCATCAGGCCTGCCTGCCCTCTGAAGGCTCTAGAGGAAAACCCAGTTTCTTGGTGTTTTGTTTTGTTTTCCCAGTTTCTAGAAACCACTTGGATTTCTTGGCTTGTAGCCCCTTCTTCCATCTTCAAAGTCTAAGGACGCTTGTGATCAAATTGAAACACCCAGATAATCCAGGATAGTCTCCACATCTCAAATTCCTTAATTTAAATACCTCAGCAAAAGTCGTCTGTAGGCAGCATATTCCAGGAATTATGGCAGGGAAATGTTTGGGAGGGCCATTCTTTGATCTTTAGTTCCCAGCTATATTCTTGTTTCTTAAAAATGACAAGCTTCTAATTACTCTTGGCCCTTGTAATCTTGTGTCTGGAACACTTGGCCCTCAGGTCTGTGTATTTTACTTGGTAATTCTAGAAAAAGTTTTTATGACACATTTCTTAATATAACCCTGTATTTTTCACAGCATTTCTTACTCCTTGAAATACTTTTCCATTTATTCCTGTTGCTTTTCACAGCCACTCAAGGTTTGGAGAGTACATACAGTACTATGTACCACTAAAAGGTTTGAGTATTTGCCTTCTCTGTTCTAGCACCTAGAATAGGGAGTGCTTGGTGCTTTGCAGTCCTTTTGCTTTATTGATTGAATCAACCTCTTGAAAGCAATAGGAATTTAAAGTTTTAATTTTCCAGTTGCAGGCACATTGTCCTTGGTGAATGGTCAGAGGAGTTGGGGACTGCACTGTGGGTTCATGGAGATTAAATACATGTATGTATGTATGTATGTACGCACGCACATATATTACTGTAAAGGACTCAAAGATGAGTTTTAGTATGTAGGGATCAATTATGTGAAAATAGAACAGCATGTTAGGGGATATAGGAAATTGTTCATGCTGTGCAGATTGGGAAATTTCACAAAGGAGGTAGAATTTGGACAACTGGTGATAGAACAGCAGGAGTCAAGAGTTGGGAGGCAGTGTCGTGGCAGATATGACAGCCAAGAGGATGTGACAGCAGACTCAAAAGCAGACCATTTAAGAATAAACATTCAAATCATGTATTGACTGCTAGTGTACACTTTATATAATCCTTGGTCCCTTTTCCACTTGGAGAGCAATCCCAGAACCGATTAGTTGGGGGGATGGGTCCCACGCCTTTCTCTTTAAATTCTCTGCGTCATTTTAATGTGCAGCCTATTTCATTAGGTAAGTATACCACTATCCCCATTTTTTAGGTGAGGGGTTAACTTTCCTTCCCCCAGGATCACACAAGTGAGTGGTGCCATAAGTATTAGGTTCCAGATCTGATTAGAGTTTTCTTAACCAGAGGATCTAGGAAATGTGAGTGTGGAACTTAATGAACACAGAAAAATGGTGTGTTTGAAAGCAGCTTCAGTTTTGAAAAATCTGAAACCATCTATTACTAGGGCTAAACTTGCAGCCCTATTTGGGGTCATGAAATGGAGCTAGATGGTTTAATTCAGCAAAAGTATAGATGCTAAAGTCCTATCACACAAGTCAGGGTGCTAGGCTTCCTTACTGGGAAGGGGACACGCACCTAAGCTTTCACCAAAGAACCTAGACAAAGGAGACCTAGAACATGGAATTCGGGCGGGCATGGTGAGGGAACTCTGGGATGACTCGGTCACTTAACCTGAGATTGAGATAGCAGGTATTGCTGGGCTGTTTGAAAGTTCCACACTCATCAGTACTCTGGAGAGCCTGGTTAGTTTGAATCTTAAAAATGCAACCCAGAGAACTGAACGTCACTTTGTCTAACTGCCCACTACCCACTCTACAGGCGCCTGGCGCAAATCTTGTGCCTCACTGAACTTGGGCCACGTCTGACTCCCATACACCCAGCCTCATTTCAGCTCCTTCCCAACCTGCACTCTGCCCTCCTCCACCACCCGCCGTAGTAGTGCCCCTGCAGGTGCCCCTATATAGTGGTAGCACCTATAGTAGTTGCCGGGTGAGTCCTAAGCAGCCTTCTAACCGCCCAGGGGCCTTCCTGGCGGGGCACCCTAATCGTCAGTCCCTGCTGGGAGAAGACTGCGGCTGGTGACCGAGAGCGTAAGGCGGCCCGGAAACTCCCGGCGCCTGGCAACCGGCGCGCGTTGGGCGGGCGGGGCTGCGGCAACCGGTGCGGCTCGCTGGACCGGGCGGGGCTGAGTGGCTGGCGAGCCGCGCTCCGCTGCGGAGCGTCGCCGGGCTGCCGGGAGCCGAGCATGGTCGCTCCGAGAGCGGAGCCCGCACGAGCGCTGGGCCGCCCTCCCTGCCCCGCCGCCGCGGCCAGCCCCGCGCCCGGGCCAAGCTGGGCGGAGGGCTCGGCTCGGCTGAGGGCGGCCGCTGGCTCCCGCGTTGTCCCCTGCCCCCGTTGACCCCGCTGCCGGAGCCTCAGACCTGGGCACCACCGCCACGGCCCAGGCATTCGAAGAAGCCCCTCTCCTCCAAGGTGGAGCTGCGGGGACAGTGAGTGCGGGTAGTCTCCGGAGGACCGCCGGCGTAGCGGGAACGGAGGGGTGGGGGGGTGGAGGGGTCATGGGGACCTTGCAGGGCAGGGCTGAAGGGGAGGTGGGGACCAGAAGTCAGCTGGTCAGGCCCCCTTCCGGGCAGGAGAAGCTAGCCCAGGGAGGCACATGAATCACTCCAAGGTTTCTCTCGATACACTTTAAGGGGAGCTGGCGGGCAAGGAGTGGATGAGAACCGGGCCAAAGCTGCTCGGCGGGGTCGGGTGAAGCAGAGAGATGGGACTGAAAACGGGACACGAGGACCTGCCTGCCAGAGTATGTTTCAGCACTCCTCAAGCTCTGTACAGGCTAGTGCGAGCATCCCTGCGTCAGGTGGACACGCCCTTACAGGCTGTCCCTCCAGCCTGCTCAGGGTTCAAACTAAAGGGCGGTGTGGGGAAGGGGTTGTTTCTCTTCTGCCTTTGGCTGCTGCTGTACCTCTTGAACCCAGCCATGTGGGGCAGGACTTGGGACACTGACCGTGTTAATTAGCTCTGGCTCCGTTTTCATGCCAATTTTGCGTTGTGCCATTTCTGATTTACCTATAGTTTGTGTGTTTATTACTTTTTTCATGAAGGATTACACATACTAGAACAGATTTGTGTCTGTTCTATTGTATGGGTCATTCTACCTCTACAACCTTTTGGGGGCCATAGACGTGAAAACTGGAGCCTCTGTCTAGAGAAATGCAACTTTGCAACCATTTTCAAGGTATACTCTCTGAAGTACAAAAATCCCCGCTTGTCCATCTTCATTGACTTTATCTACATTGCTAATGGTGGGTTTAAATCCTCTGTTACAGTGGCATCTCTTCAAAAATACTTCTGACATTTCTTTTCTTACATTTTTAAAATTACTTTATAACACATTTAGTAGTTCTCATTCATACAGAAGAATATAGAGTTAGAAGTAAAGGCCCTCTCTTTACCTTTTTCTCCTTTCTAACACTTCTTAGAGTTAATTTAGTGTTTATCCTTCTACTCTTTTTTTCTTTCTTTTTTTTTGGTTTGTTTTTTTGGATCATAGGAATGATATCTGGATTCTTTTTAGAAATTGTCTTTTTCACTTAAAAAGATGTGACAAATAACTTCATAGTGGTTTACTTAGGTCTACATTGATAGGGTAGTTGCATCATACGAATGTATGATGTGATCATGGTGCAGACGTATTGTAATTTATGTAACCATTCCTCGTTAAGATTGGTTCCAGTTTTTCCTTATTGCAAACAATACAACGATGAACATTCTTACACATGGAAAGCAGTTCTGTAAAATTAATTCCCTGAAGCAGAATTGCTGGGTCACGTGTGTATGTTAAAAAGTTGTGGTGGAATCTTGCGTTCTGAAACATCTTTACTGATTGACATTTCCATCAACAGACTGTGTTATGAAAATCTGTGTTTATTTTTATTTAAAAACAGTTAAAACAATAACTTCCACTCATTGAGTGTTTATTACATGTCCAGCACCATGCTGAACACTTTACGTGCATTGAAATTTAATCCTCACTAACCCTCTGAGAATCGGAGGCGCTATTATTTTCTTCATGACCCTGTGGTTATGCAGCTATTGCAGGGCAGAATCAAGATTAGAATCCCGGCTCCTTTTACTCAGATGAATAAATAGTGTTCTTTGTTGGGTGGGAATTCCTGGTCAGGAATTGACTGGTAATTGTGTTTTATCGGGTTGAGGATTAAATGAGATTGCACTTTTGGTGTTGCTGTGTTGCTAATTGTTCCTTCCATTTCGAGCTTCTGTAGAATTGGATATGGTCCAGTACTTCCTATGATTCTGGTTCTTCTGTATTCTCTGCCTCTCCAGTCACCTCCCAGCCTCTTCTTTCTCTTCCTGCTTTGTGGACCTTTTAAGGAAATCTGGCTTTCTTCTGCCTCTCAAGTCTTCTTTGGCAACTTTAATCCAGTCTCTGGCCTCAATTCTCACTAGTGAATAGGTGACTCTTAAAATTTCTTCTCCCAACCGAAGCTACGGTCCCCAATTCCTACAGCCTAGACCCAGGTTCTGTAGCTCCACCTGGATGTCTGCCACTCATTTTACTTAAAACCAAGCTCTTTGTTGCTCTCCATCCCCAGACTAGCAATTTCTCTTTGAATGTAATTCATCATTCTCTTAGTCACCCTAGTTCACAGTCTCAGTCATCTTTGACTCATTTTTTCTTTGCCGAACCTCCTAAATTCAATCAGCTGTTGTATTCCCACTGTTGCTAGTCTAATTTAAGCACTCTGGACTATTATTATTATAGTGGACTCAACGGGTTCCAGTCTCTGCCAGATTAATCCTAAAGCATACCTGAATGTGCCACACCTCTCTTCAGAGTCCGTCAGTGCCTTCCCATTGCTCACAGAAGTGCAGAGCACTTGGGCTAGCATTCAGATTTGTCTGTGATCTCACCTCAAACTGTCATTTCCTTCTTTCTCACAGAGTCCTTATCTGAATCCTGCTCCATTCTCCGAGGCATCTTTCACATCTGTATCTTTTCCTGGAATGCTTATACCTGCATTTTCTAGCCTCTTCCAAGTCTTTTTTGAACTTCCATTTGAAAATGACATCTGCCTTTTTTAAACTGTCCTGATGTGAGACATCGCTCCCTCCTCGGGCTGTAATGTCACACGTTGCCTTATATTACAGTTGTGTGAGTGGCTGCTGTTTTTCCTTTTGCACTGGAAATTCTGTAAAGCCAGAATATTCTTCTTCATAGCTGTCATGCACGTGGCATGTTGATTTGCACACAGTACATGCTTTAGTGAATGTATTTGAATAAGTGAGCTAATACCACACTTGGGAATAAAAAATTGCATGTATTAGTCTGTTGCTAGCTATAATGACAAATGGACCTCAACATCTTAGTGACTTAACGGGTAAGTTTCTTGCTCACATAACAATTCCAAAGCAGATAGTCCTGGTCAGCAGGAAGCTTTCTTCCAATTGGTTGTAAGACCAGGCTCTGCCATTCATTAGCACTTCCCTATTATCTCACCTGTGGCAAGGAGAAGAAGGTGCAGAGAAAGCAGACCTTCTTTTTAAAGGCTTCTTGAAGAACGTGTTATACATTACGCTAATTCATGTTCCAATCACAGGGAGGTAGGCACTTCTTAGGAACAATTCTATTCTCTGGAGGAGCAAGAGTGTAAGTAAACATTCAGGTTATTGACTGTCGCAGTCAATTTCTACTTCTGAAAACCTGTGGGACTTAGCTTGATCATCCCTTGCTAAAAAACAAAAGCAAAACTCCTACTTCCCCCATCTGGCTAGGTTCGCAAACGCTCTGTTGTACCACAGAATTGAAACGTACCTTTATCACTAATATTTATTGTAATGAACTATAATTGTTTGTTTACTTTGTTCCCCCAACATACTATATGCTTTTGCGTCTTCATCATTTTTGTATTTCAGCTCCTAGCACAATGACTGGCATTATGGGTAAATAAATATCTAGCTTTCTCAATTAATCTGCAACTTGTCTTTATGTTCACTTGAAAACTATTTTGCTTTAAACAAAGCTAAAAATAAAGATAATCTTACCAGTGCTCTTTGATGTTTGGGTTATTTTCAGCCTTTTTTTTTTCTTTTCTATTATAAAAAATACAGGATTTGACATCCTTGTATTTGTATGTATCAATGGTCATTCCTTTAGGATAAATCCCTGGCTCAAAAGTATATAAAATTACTGCATTATATTATATATATATAATATTATATAAATTATTATATTATTTGCTGGATCAAAAGCATATAAAATTATTAGGACATATATACTGCTAGATTGCTTTCTGGACATAATATACTGATACATAAGCTGAAAACTTATGAGAGTGCCTCTTTTCCTTGAACCTCGTCTTGTGTTGTCTAGTATTAAAGAAAGATCCTTGCCATTTTGATTGGCAAAAGTCATAGCTCATTATATTATTTTGCTTTTATTTGAGAACTAGTGAGGATGAACTTCTATTGATCATTTGTATTTTTTTTTCTGGAAGGAACTATCTGTCGTGTAATAAATTCATTTTCTATAGGGTTTTTTTAATCTTATTTTTAAGTATCTTTATATATAAAAGGCATTAAAAGCATCAGTCTTCTACGTCCTTATTTGAAAAGTTATGGGAACTTCTGGGTCATGTGGCAGAAGGACCTGACACAGGTGGGACTCCATTCTAATTTGGAATATTTCAAATGCTGGGTAAAATATAATAAGATAATTTATGGAAATGTAGCTGAGCTAGGGACCAAGAGAAGGAAATCCCCAGGTGCCAGCAATGAAGGAACACTCACATAGGAAGCCACTGTTGAGCATCTGCCGAAAGCTGGAAATCACAAAGGAGTACTGTTCCAGTTACTATGACTGCATTACAAATTTCTCCAAAACTTAGTCGTGGAAAACAACCATTTATTGTACTCTGTGGGTCAGGAATTCGGACAGTGCACAGCGGGACAGCTTGGCTCTGCTTCACGATGTCTGGGTTCTCAGATGGAAGAATCGAAAGCTTGGGTCTAGAATCACCTGCAGGCTCATTCATCCCCATGTCTGGTGGTTGATGCTCACTGTGGGCTGAGACCTTAGCTGTGGATGTCAACTGGAACCTTTATATGGTGGCTTCCTTACAAAATGGTGGCTGGATTTCAAAGGTGAGATCCCAAGAGGGAGCCAGTGGAAGTTGTATTGCCTTTTACGCCCTAGCTTTGGAAATCACACAGTATCACTTCTACGGCACTATATTTATTCAGGAAGTTAATTTCAGGGAGAGGGAACACAGACTTCATTGCTTGAAGGAGGAGTATCAACATCACATTGAAGGAAGAATGTGTAGGAATGAGTATGTATTAGTGTATCCTTCTTTGAAAAATACAACCTGCTACAGACACTAAGGTGATAATAGAAAAATATGCTCCCATTGGCCCAAGGAGGCTGCAAGGAAGCCTACCATCCACTTGGACTATGGCAGGAAAAGAG